ACTGCCTTACTCAAACTCTCCAACGACCTGCTAACCGGCCAAAAGTCTAATGGCCACTATTCAGTAGCTCCTACTCCTTGACCTCTCTGCGGCCTTTGACACAGTCGACACCATACCCCCTCCTCCTCAAAAAACTACACTCCCCACATCGCCCAAGCTCAGAGATTCTGCTTTGCAATCTCTCCTGGCTCTCATCCTACCTGTCACAACGCTCTTTCAGCGTTACCTATAATGCCACCACCATCCCTCTCACTCCCCCCTCTCTGTTGGGGTCCCTCAAGGCTCTGTCCTCGGGCCCCTTCTCTTCTCCATCTAACACCTCCTCCCTTGTGGCCAACTCATACACTCTCACGGCTTCAACTACCACCTCTATGCCGACGACACACAAATCTATCTCTCAACCCCCCACCTCACCCCCCTCGGTCTCCCCCGAAATCACACACCTACTTGAGACGACATATCAGACTGGATGTCGCTATACCACTTCCTTAAACTGAACCTCTCCAAAACCGAGTTTCTTGTCTTCCCCCCAGCCCGGACACCACCCCCCATTGACTTCTTCCCCATCATGTCCAACAACTCCATCACACCATCAAACAACGCACCCCAAACCCAGCCCCGCAGGCCAGAGTACTTGGTGTCATTCTTGCGGACTCCAACCTATCCTTCCAGCCCCAAGTCCAATCTTTAACAAACTCGTGCAGACCTCCACCTCCCGCAACATCGCGCCAAAATCCGCACGTTCCTAACCTCCAAGAAACCACTAAACAGCTCATCCACTCCCTCATCATATCACGACTCGACTACTGCATACTCCCTCCTCCTCATGGCCTGCCTCGCCGCTGGCTATCCCCGTCGCTCCTGTCAGTCATCCTGAATACGGCTGCCAGACTCATTCACCTTTCCAACCGCGCTACCCACTTTACCGCCACCCCCCCTCTGCCAATACCCCTCCACTGGCTTCCCCGATTGCGCAACGGATCAAATTCAAAATCCTAAACGCTGACACGTACAAACGCACACTCCCAGTCCACCATACTGCCCCGAAACCTACATCACTGACCCTAATATAACCAAGTACCAATATCAACAGCCCAGACACGCACACTCCGCTCCTCACAAGACCCCCCCTATCTCTCTAGTTCCCCTGGTCTCCTCCCTCACATGCCCGCCTCCAGGACTTCTCCAGGGTGTCACCCATCCTCTGGAACTCCCTGCCCCAACCCATCAGATTATCACCTACTCTCCTCTCCTTTAGGCGCGCACCCTGAAAACCCATCTCTTAAGGGAAGCCTACCCCCACCCCGCCCCCTGCTAACTTGCCAACCTCCTCCACTCTGCCTACCACTCCCCATCCACCCACAGCTATCTCCTCCTGTGCCACCATCCCCTCCCTCCTAGATTGTAAGCTCGAAAGAGCAGGGCCCTCGATCCCCTCATGTTTTGCATTGTATTGGTATTGTTCTGTCACATGTTCTCTGTAATGTACAGCGCTGAGCAAACTATTGGCGCTTTATAAATACTGTATAATAATAATAATGCCACTGACCTGGCTCAGTGGATTTTCTAATGCAGATTACTGTTTGAGACATACACATAAAATCTTCTGGAGGTATTTTGAATATAACACAATTGTACCATCAGTGTAGTATTTAACTGCATCGAGCTAAATTTCTTGAAGAATCAATTCTGCTAGCTTAACTGACAAAATGGCTGCACATAACTCTAAAAGTGGCACTGTGTGGGCTGGTCTTGGAGCTAGTTTAGATTTGCCCATAATAAAGCCTACATGACCTTGACCATGACTGTCTATAACCTAGGGATACGCTGCAGCCAAGGGCGGACTGACCATTTGGAAACTCGGGCACTGCCCAAGGGCCCAGGGTCAGTAGGGGGCCCCATGAGATGCCCCTGGTACCTTTTTCATAGGCTTTTTTGAGTTTGGGCAAGGACACAGGGGCCCCATGATCCCCTATTGCTCGGGGGCCCCATGAGTTGTCAGTCCGCCCCTGGCTGCAGCTGCTATAGCCACAGTAGAAGCATCAGAAAAGACACATACTGTCAGGAATCAGGGAGTGACCAGAAAGGTGTGGACTGACACAGGGAAACGCAGGTCTCAGGTACAATACAATACAGTTATTATTAGCCACCCAGATATATATATGTATAAACGCACACAGTGAACAAACTAACCTTCCACTAATCTTAGGAGGTGCAGGAACACAGGCGTAGTCAGGGCTGGAGAGGTGTGGAATGGTCACAGGCCGGCCGTAGGGTTCTGTAACGACTGCCTGGTGGTACCTCTAGCGGTCCTCAGGGCAGGATTCCCCAGGGCGCGGAGTCTAAAGTCCCAGTCTGCTATTCACCAGGGCCCCTGATGGTGGGGATGGACTTGGAGCAGACAGGAACCAGGTCGCGGCCCCTGAGGAGACACCCTGCTAGTGATAGAGGGATCCGCCAGAGGTATGTGCAGGTACGGCTGGATCCGTGCAGGATGGATGGATGGCAGAGTAGTGAGCGTGGTCATACGGGCCAAGTCAGCAACGTGCGGCAGCAAGGTATCAAAGGAGCAGGCAGAGAATGGTCAAGGTCACAAGCCGGGTTCAGTAACTCACGGACAGCGCAGTACAGAGGATCATGCAGAAGGTATGGTCAGGGATGAGCCAGTAGTCAGAACAGGAGACGGTCAACAGGAATCAGGATCAGGCAGGGTCGGCAACAAGGTATCTTCTCACAGGAACTAGGAACAGGATACAGGGGCTCATGGGAAAACATACACCAAGGCCCAGAGCATCAGGCCTGGTCATGCCTTATATACACCTTTCTGTAATCAGCCCCAGGTTTGGCTGATTGTGAGCTTCTGGCTGCTAAGAGCACCCGCTGGTCAGCTCTGGTACTGCAGCCCACACGGCAGGAGAGTCCCACCACCAGTGCTGAGAGCACCCGCTGGTCAGCTCTGGTACTGGCAGCCCACACGGCAGGAGAGTCCCACCACCAGTGCTGAGAGCACCCGCTGGTCAGCCCAACGCAGCTCTGGTACTGCAGCCCACACGGCAGGAGAGTCCCACCACCAGTGCTGAATCCATTCCTGACACATACAGGTGCATCTCAATAAATTAGAATATCATCAAAACGTTGATTTGAGTAATTCAATTCAAAAATTGAAACTCCTATATTATATAGATTCATTACACATAGCGTGATATATTTCAAGCATTTGTTTCTTTTCATTTTGATAATTTTGGCTTACAGCTAGTGAAAACCCTAAATTCAGCATCTCATAAAAGTAGAATATTGTGAAAATGTTCAATATTGTAAACTCATGGGGGTTGGTTTACTAAAAGCATCTTGTCTGGAAATGGTCACAGTTCCTTGCATGACTAACTATTTTTGGACGGGTAAGAGATTTACTAAAGCACTCAGTCAACAAATAGTGTCAGGAATGGACTGGCCAGCAATGGTGGGAGTCACCTGCCTTATGATCTGCAGTACCAGGGCTGGCCAGCGGGTGCTCCCAGCAATCAGAGACTCAACCTTGCAGCCAGATAACACCTGGAACTGATTATACTGGTGTATTTAAGGGATGGCCAGACCTGCAGACTCTGCCTTGGGTGTTGGTTTTCCTGGGCCCTGTATCCTGTCCCTGCATTCTGTTTCTGTTTCTGTTTCTGTTTCTGTTCCTGTCGCTGACCCTGTCTGATCTGCACCTCTGCTGACTTCTCCTGCTCTGACCCCGGCTCGTTCCTGACCATCCCTCTGCCTGACCCTCTGTACCTCGCTGTCTGCTACCTGCTGAACCTGGCATGTGACCATGAACCATTCTCCGCTTGCTCCCCCTGTACCTACCTGCCCGATTGATTGACCCGGCCTGCCTGACGACGCTTGCACTGTATGTACTGTTATCTGTGGGTGGTTGGTTTGGTTTGTTTGCACTGTATTATGTTTTAGTATGGCACTGCGTTTATGTTTGTATTGTTAGTGTTAATAAATTATATCGTTTGTAACATATCTGAAGTCTGCGTTTCCCTGCATCAGTCACACACCTCTGGTCATACCCGGGAGCCCTGACATTACACCAAGGCCAATCCTGACCAGAAGTGGCTGCACAGGGAAGCCATCTTGGCTTGTTGCTGGGAAAGATGGATCTTGATGAGGTTGGGTATTTATATCTGCTAGTGTTTGATGACAGAGAGTAATGCTTATCAAACTCTGAAGGAGTATCCCCGGGATGAACTGCTAGAATGTATACGGCTCGCTCATGTTCTAGTAGATCAGGGCACAGAGTTTTGCAACCTTTGATTCAGGTTTGTGCGGAGTTGGTTTCATCTAGTACCCACGAATGCAGGGATGAATTTTTGCCGCCATTTAGTGCCGACCAGGTAGAGTCCCTGGTATGGTTATTAGAGGATGATGTGGATTACTTTCTGGAGCGTTTTCTACATGTTCACCACAGGTACTAAGAGATTGTATAAACGCAGTGCAGTCTTTGGTCAGACAGGCTTTGTGTAAGCTCAGCTTTGTTCAACCCATACTGCAGACATGGACAGATTTGTTGCACCCAGCCTCAGTCAGCTTACAAAAACCCAGTCCTGCTTCTAATCTATTTCCTCAAAACTCTATTCCTGCATTCCCAACAGCTCCTCCTGCCCTGCTATCTACCGCATGTCAGTACCCTGTTCCCACTCGCTGCACCTATCCTGCCTTTAACCCTGTAAAAAAGCCCTCTGTAGCAACTGCTCCCTCTCCTGTTCCATCCTCCAGCTCTTCTCTGTCTCCAGCTGCTCCATTCGTTTGCAGACCTGCGTTTACTTGCAGTGCCCCAGTAGTTAAAACCAGAAAAAAGCGAAAATTCTTTCCAACCAATACCATCCTGCCAGTATCCAAACCGGTGAGCCTGCCGTCTGAGAACCTGCCTTCCGTGGTTCAGCCTGGTTGCCTCTCTTCAGCCTGGTGCCTCTACTCAGCCTGGTGCCTCTACTCAGCCTGGTGCCTCTACTCAGCCTGGTGCCTCTACTCAGCCTGATGAACTGATCCAGCCTGATGATCCTATTAGGCCAGTTGACTCGATACCCGCTGTTGATCCAGACGATCCGGTACCTGATCCAGTGCCCGCTGTCGTGCCAATTGACTCAGAGCCCGCTGTCATACCTGGTGACTCGGTGCCCACTGCCTTGCCAGATGACGCGGTGCCCGCTGGCGAGCCAAATGACCTGATGCCTGGTGACCCAGTGCCCGCTGTCATACCTGGTGACCCGATGCCCGCTGTCGAGCCAGACGATCCAATGCCTGGTGACCCGGTGCCCACTGCCTTGCCAGATGACGCAGTGCCCGCTGGCAAGGCAAATGACCTGATGCCTGGTGACCCAGTGCCCGCTGTCATACCTGGTGACCCGATGCCCGCTGTCGAGCCAGACAATCCGGTACCTGATGACCCGGTGCCTGCTGTCGTGCCAATTGACTCAGAGCCCACTGTCGTGCCTGTTGACTCGGAGCCCACTGCCTTGCCAGATGACGCGGTGCCCGCTGTTGAGCCAAATGACCTGATGCCTGGTGACCCGATGCCCGCTGTCCAGCCAGACGATTCAATGTCTGCCCCAGTGCCCGCGGTCATGCCAGTTGACTCGGAGCCCACTGCCTTGCCAGATGACGCGGTGCTCGCTGTCGAGCCAAATTACTGATGCCTGGTGACCCGATGCCCGCTGTCCAGTCAGACGATCCAATGTCTGACCCAGTGCCCGCGGTCATACCAGTTGACTCGGAGCCCACTGCCTTGCCAGATGACGCGGTGCCCCGCTGTCGAGCCAAATGACCTGAAGCCTGGTGACCCGATGCCCGCTGTCCAGCCAGACGATCCAATGTCTGACCCAGTGCCAGCGGTCATGCCAGTTGACTCGGAGCCCACTGTCGTGCCTGGTGACTCGGTGACCGCCGCTTCGCCTGGGGGCCCGAGACCTGTCGCTCCGCCTGGGGGTCCGGCGCCCGCCGCTCCGCTTGGGGGTCCGGCGCCCGCCGCTCCGCTCCGCCTGGGGTCCCGCCCGCCGCCCGCCCCGCCTGGGGGCCCGATGCCTGTCGCCCCGCCTGGGGGCCCGATGCCTGTCGCCCCGCCTGGGGGCCCGGTGCCTGCTGCTCCGCCTGGGGCCCGGTGCCTGCCGCTCCGCCTGGTGGCCCGGTGCCTGCTGCCCGCCTGGTGGCCCGGTGCCTGCCGCCCCGCCTGGTGGCCCGGTGCCTGCCGCCCGCGCCTGGGGGCCCGGTGCCTGCCGCCCCGCCTGGTGGCCTGGTGCCTGCCGCCCCGGCTGGTGGCCCGGTGCCTGCCGCCCCGGCCCCGGCTGGTGGCCCGGTGCCTGCCGCTCCGCCTGGTGGCCGGTGCCTGCCGCTCCGCCTGGTGGCTCGGTGCCTGCCGCTCCGCCTGGTGGCCCGCTGCCTGCTGCTTCGCCTGGTAATCCGATGTGCCTCTGCCCGGGAGTCCAGCCCGATGTGCCTCTGCCCGGAGTCCAGCCCGATGTGCCTCTGCCCGGAGTCCTGCCCGATGTGCCTCTGCCCGGAGTCCAGCCCGATGTGCCTCTGCCCGGTGTGCCTCTGCCCGATGTGCCTCTGCCCGGAGTCCAGCCTGATGTGCCTCTGCCCGGAGTCCAGCCCGATGTGCCTCTGCCCGTGTGCCCCTGCCCGGTGTGCCGCTGCCCGGAGTCCTGCCCGGTGTGCCAGTCTTTGATATCCCGCCAGTTACCAGACCCGGGCAGTGGAACATTTTGCCCAGCTAGGACTGTTTGGAGTGTCCTGAGGCCGCTCCTTGAGGGGGGGGGTACTGTCAGGAATGGACTGGCCAGCAATGGTGGGAGTCACCTGCCTTATGATCTGCAGTACCAGGGCTGGCCAGCGGGTGCTCCCAGCAATCAGAGACTCAACCTTGCAGCCAGATAACACCTGGAACTGATTATACTGGTGTATTTAAGGGATGGCCAGACCTGCAGACTCTGCCTTGGTGTTGTTTTTCCTGGGCCCTGTATCCTGTCCCTGCATCCTGTTTCTGTTTCTGTTCCTGTTCTGTCGCTGACCCTGTCTGATCTGCACCTCTGCTGACTTCTCCTGCTCTGACCCCGGCTCGTTCCTGACCATCCCTCTGCCTGACCCTCTGTACCTCGCTGTCTGCTACCTGCTGAACCTGGCTTGTGACCCCGACCATTCTCCGCTTGCTCCCCCTGTACCTACCTGCCCGATTGATTGACCCGGCCTGCCTGACGACGCTTGCACTGTATGTACTGTTATCTGTGGGTGGTTGGTTTGGTTTGTTTGCACTGTATTATGTTTTAGTATGGCACTGCGTTTATGTTTGTATTGTTAGTGTTAATAAATTATATTGTTTGTAAGATATCTGAAGTCTGCGTTTCCCTGCGTCAGTCACACACCTCTGGTCATACCCGGGAGCCCTGACAAATAGACACAATTCGAAATGTACTAATGGTCACAAAACTTAGCGACCATCTAAATGAGTTTACCTCTTAGAACCAGGTGAACAGCAGTTTCAATGAAACTCTGGATCATCCTTGTCCCTAGAGGTATCAGACAAGGGAGCACCATGCAGGCCACTAATATTACCATTACCATTCCCAGGATGGCCTTCAGCCCACTTGTATTTAGAAACCAATCCCCAAACCAGTTGCCTGCATTAAAACTGTTCCATGTCTGCACTGGAACATGAACCACTTTCCTCATCCGTTCTCCTGTGATCTCTTCTATTACCTTGCCATGATCATCTATCTCCAGACAGCAATTACTCAAATTGAATTTCCCACACAGCCCTTCTTCAGCAGCTAACAAGTAATCTAAAGCAAGTCTATTCTGGTATATGCCAGTACGCAGTTGAGTTCCTTGTTTTGCAAGTTAAAAGCATTTGCAGACTCATTGGTAATGATTTCTAGCACAGCTTGTAGCCTAATAATCCGATTAAGCATATAGACAGGAGTTCTGTAGCCCCATGACCCATCCTCTGCCCAGGTGGCAGGACCATAATACTGGACAATACATTCTGGTGGCCATTCATTATCCTTCCTGTCCCCTATTTGTAAACCGGGTGCCCTCCTTTTCCTCTATAGCCCTTCATATACCGGGACTCCTAACTGTTTTCCACTCCTGAGGAGGAGGAGAAAGAATGAGGGTTTCAATGTTCCTAGAACACAAGCTCCTGACCAATCTCGGGGAAGCACTGAGTAAGCTTTGTTCCCACAAATCCAGTACAGATTCTCTTGGGCCTTCCAGTTCGACTGTGAGATCCTCCCATATCCCTCTTAAATTAGTGAAATTTCTAAAGGGATGTGGGTCAAGCATAGGCACTTAATTACTCTGCCAGGATGTATTTTTAGAGGTGTCATTGTAAAACTGTTTCCCTAGGCAAGCCATTTCTCCTACGTGGGTTTTATACATGGGACCTGACCTGGCTATACAGTATTTCCCAATTATTGATGTTTTTAGATGACATTCTGATTTTGCTCGCTCAGAGGGTTTCTCAGTGATGACATCAAATGGCATGTTGTAATCTATCTCCCGGGCTTCCCAGGGCCACTGATCTCTCATGTTAGTTCCCCCACAGCAATTCCCCCATAGCAATTGGATACCTTTAAATTGTCAGCTACTCTCTCCACCAGTTCTATGAACAGATTCTTGGTACTGGGGGGTATCTCTATGCTGGTAGCAAGTTCTTCATAGAGAGAGTGGAACAAGTTATATGTGGCACTCTTGGTGGTTTCTGTTTCTATGCATATATGCACAATTGTCCCTGGATCTGATCCCTTTCCATTTATGTTTATTCCAAGTTTATTACCCCAACATGTCAAAAACTTGAAGGGGTTGTATATGGTGAAGTTTACAGAGGTTCCTATTGAACAGTTGGATAAGCTGGGCAAGGACTGAAGGCTAGTGTCATGACTTTTCTCTTCCCATGTTCCCCCTGCTGGACAACGCCACTGGGGACAGTAATTCCAGAATTCATCACTGCAGCCATTTCCACGCTTCCCTGAGCAAATGTACTTATCATTTGCCAGGTACTCCCTCTCCTATTCTAACCCCCCGCAACCTTTCCTGGGGGAATAGTTTAGGTTAATAGCAGAGCATACATCAAAAATCAGGCTCGCTGCAGCATTGGGATTAGCTATTAGGGTACGGTTTATCAGCTTACCTGTGGAGCCGTAGCTCCATATGGTCAACCAGGTTTTAGTGGGTCCCTAGGTGGGGTCATAACAGGTTACCTGGTTCCCTACAGTGCACATTGAATAAGTTGTTTCATTATGTACACATGTGTCAGTTACTGTGCCAGTGTGCATTCACATTGATAATGAGAATGCCATAACAACATACTAATGATTACAGATCCTACTCTAGAAATCTTGATACACGGGCCACATGATCTCCCCTCCCCCCCTATTGTTCTAGCCAGGGTTATTATTATGGTTACCAGCAATTTTATTAAAACATTTTTAGCAGGCATGATATTGGTGTATATCCCTTTATTCCGCCGTATGTTGACTCAACAGCCTCCAGGTTTGTGTTGAGAGCAGTGCTGGAGTTCTTCCTTCTGATTTCTCTGGTCAGCTTCAGCTTTAAGGGGTTTTGAGGGTCTGCTTTACTCAGCCAAGAGTCTGTGTGATCAGCAGCTTGCATTCCCCTGGAGAGATGAATCCAGGCAGTCACCTTGGCCACCTTAATGGCTGTGGGAGTAGATAGCAGAACAGTGTAAGGACCTCTCCATCTGGGCCCTAAAGGAATTACGCTCCACTCCTTTAACCACTTTGCATCTCCCAGTCCAAAGGGGTGGATGGGGTTGTACAGGCTTATGGGGAGTTTCTCTTGAACCCACGTCCCTATATCCTGTATATTCTCCCCCAATTTCTGTAACAGTTCATAGCTCCCCCCCCCCCCCCCCCCATCTGGTGTAAGTCTCCCTTGATACCTCTAATGATGAGTGGGGGCCTACCATATAGTACTTCAAAAGGGGTCAGATTTGTCCTCTTTGTTGGAGTACTCCGGATTCTCAGCAAGGCAATGGGCAGCATAAATTTCCACCTAATTTGGGTTTCCTCACAGTGTTTTACCAGTTGTAACTTTAGGGTACGGTTCATTCTCTCCACTTTTCCAGAACTTTGAGGCCAGTATGCGGTGTGTAGTTTCCAGGTTCGGTCGCTATCCATTCTTATTCTGCCCTTTTATAGATTGGGTCCCATTCAGAGAGTGGTACTGGGAACAGAGGGGCCATAATCTGTTGTGGGGACCACTGGAGTGCTGCCTCTCTGGCAGATCAGGATCTGATTTTCTGTTGCCTTTGGCCACCTGGGAGTCTCCCTTTTGATGACCCCTACAGTGTATCACTGCAACTTCA